ATGACGGGAAAGATATTGGCGCCGCGCCAAAAGCGAGGCAACGCTGACACGCCCCCACTAACCTCGGTAATAACGACTGTACACACGTCTATCTCTGCTTCTTTCTAAATCCACGCAGTCGTTGCCACGATCGAAACTACGCACTCGGAAGCCTTCCCTCCGCCCCTCTTGCTTTCAAATATGTGCTAAATTTTGCAACTTTTTTTCCACCACATCACTTTGAAAGATTTCATAGATTTTTTCAGTGTTCTTGCTGACAGGATCCCAATAGATCTTTTATTTCAAACGTTTGCTCGTGGTATAGTGAAAGTGGAGGATATACCTACGGTGAGTTAACATCGAATGAAGTTGGACAAATATAAATTTAGATCAGCCCAGGTTCAGGTCATAATACGTCATGAAATCGCAAATCGCTCGGCATGCTGAGGTCAGGGCCACTGGGCAGCCTACCGAGAGGAAAACAAAATCCCCGCTCTGGTATGATACCCCCCCCCTCATCACCGAGCGGTACAGTGCCAGTGAAAGTGAAGCAGTATAGGAACGAAAGTTCCACAATTCTGGGAAATGGCAGGGTACCTCACGATAGTTATTACGTCACGCTAATAAACCGAAAATTACGAGAATGCCAAAATCTTGCACGAGACAAGGCAAGCTTCTCACCGTTCCCTGGCAGTAAGAATCGCCGTTAAATTGCAAAAGCTTGCCCCAAACCAGGACTGAACTGGTGAACTTTAGACTCAGTCTAACGCTCTCCCAACTGAACTACCGTGTTAAATCTGTACAGCCCAAGAACGAGGAACAGATCTTTCTGCAGAAGTTCCAGAGGTGGACTGAGACCAGTAAGGCTGAGGGCAGACTTTGAATAGGTCTGTAATGTAACCAATCGTAGAGGCATATCAGGGATTTGTGAGGCGAGTCTGGGGCTTTTGTAGAACATTCGAAGGCACGGTCCGCGATCAGGTATAGTAGCTGAGAATATACGGGCGGTCCGCGACGGACCACATTGTTTACTACCGGTTTTCTGGCAAAAAAACTGTAATGGAGGGGCGCTATAGCGCAATATGTGTTCAGTGATGCCTCCTTTCTTCCAGTGACTACTCCTCCAAACCCGTCTCCAGGGCCCGCCTTTCAGCGAAAAATAGAGTTGCAGGACGAAAAAGCATGGAAATCGTCACTTGTACGGTCTAGAGTTGTTATCGGGGATCAGCTGTACGCACCGGGGGGAAGGGCGTAGTACAGGAGATGGAGTTAATA